ACGTCCTCCTGCTGGCCACGTCATCAGCTGCTGAGCCAACCGCCTCCTTGGGATGTCGCTGCCTCTCTTCATCTCCTCCGTGCCGACCGCCGCCGTGTTGCCGCCGCTTCTCGATTCCTCGCTCGGCTGGAGCCAAATTTCGAGGGAGGGGTACCCCCCTGTCCTCCTACGGACAGGTACCCATTTACCTAATTGCCCCGAGGGGCTTTCGGACTGCTGGGTTGGCAGGAGCTGGGGCAAGGGTCGGGAGCTCACCCCGACCACGGTGGTATTCGAACCGCTGTTACAGCTATTCGAGATGACTATTTCTACAGGCATTTAACTGCCTGTGCCATCGTTGTCTTTTGCTCAGGGACAGAGTAGGTAGCTTCTGTGCCCCACATGGTGTTCCAGATGCATGTTCACCATTGCAACTGGGGGAGGAAGGAGAGAGCTAGCTAGCCACTTGGGGGGTGGGACCCACAATGGTGGGGGAAGGATGAAGCGGGCGACAGCCACGCTCCTCCACTCAAAATCGCAGATTTTCCCATGGACAGTTTCTCATTTTAAAGAAGTGCCTCGGCTTTGTTGACACGAATTTTGTTTGTAACGTTTTGCTTCCCCTGAAGCTGCCGCCTCATCTCCCCGATACTCATCCTTTGGTCCCAGAACCCATTCCCTTTCTAAAAGAACCGAACAGGGGCTGATAGTCTGCAGAAACACCACCGGAAGGAAAAGTCACACCTCCCTTTCTTGTTGGTCTCAGAAAGAACCTTTTCTCCCTCTCTCAAAAGACTAGAACTCGAGGGCATCCAATGAAGCTGAGGGGCTCAGGAGTAAAGAGCTTTCAGAACCAGGAGGCAGCATCAGGGGAAGGCCTTGGCCTCTCTGCCCCGTTGTTGGCCCTCCAGAGGAACTGGTTGGCCACTGTGTGAGACAGGATGCTGGACCAGATGGACCACTGGTATGACCCAGCAGGGCTCTTCTCATGTTCTGATGAAGGCCTCGGCCTCTGTGCCCTGTCATTGGCCCTCCAGAGGAACTGGTTGGCCAGCTTGTAAGACGGGATGCTGGACTAGATGGACCACTGGTCTGATCCAGCAGGGCTGTTCCGATGTTCTTATGAAGGCCTCAGCCTCTGTGCCCTGTTGTTGGCCCTCCAGAGGAATTGGTTGGCTACTGTGTGAGACAGGATGGTGGACTAGATGGACATCTGGTCTGATCCAGCAGGGCTCTTCTGATGTTCTGATGAAGGCCTCGACCTCTATGCCCTGTTGTTGGCCCTCCAGAGGAACTGGTTGGCCACTGTGTGAGACAGGAGGCTGGACTAGATGGACCACTGGTCTGATCCAGCAGGGCTCTTTTGATGTTCTGATAAAGACCTCGGCTTCTATGCCGTTGTTGGCCCTCCAGAGGAACTGATTGGCCCCTGTGTGGGACAGGATGCTGGACTAGAGGGACCACTGGTCTGATCCAGCAGGGCTCTTTTGATGTTCTGATGAAGACCTCAGCTTCTATGCCGTTGTTGGCCCTCAGGGGAACTGATTGGCCCCTATGTGGGACAGGATGCTGGACTAGAGGGACCACTGGTCTGATCCAGCAGGGCCCTTCTGATGTTCTGATGAAGGTCTCGGCCTCCTTGCCTTCTGGTTGGCCCTCCAAAGGAACTGCCTGTCCCCTGTGTGAGACAGGATGCTCAGAATAAGTGCTCAGTCTTCCTCCAACAGAACGTGCTTTTCACTTTGGAGGAAGCTTTGAGCTCACTAAGAGACACTTTTTACAGCATTCACTGAAAAATTTGGATAAATATTTTGGTATTTGGCAACCTTGTGCTTGGAAATATCTGTTGAACTCCCTGAGGAAGACACTGAAACAAGAGGATATCCGGACCTCTGTTGGAGGAAGACTGAGCACTTATTCAAAATACTGAAAGGAGTCCTCCCTCTTAAAACTTCTGTATAATTGAGGACTGATATTAATAAAGGGGTTGTGCAATATCTTTTGTGACATATTAGGAGACGATACTTAGATGTTTTTATATATGATTCTTTCTATGTATTAAGGCTTATATGATAAATTATATATGGTGAATAAATTGTAAGAATATAAAACAAAAATATATAAAATTATTTGAGATATTTTATAATCGTCTGTAGCACGGTATTTGTGGGTTTTGGTATTTCCTACTTACCGTGGGTCCTATTTTGGCCCCTGTGTGAGACAGGATGCTGGACTAGATGGACGGCTGGTCTGATCCAGCAGGGCTTGTGTTCTTAGGAGGGCCTCGGCCTCTTTGCCCTGTTGTTGGCCCTCCAGAGGAGCTGGCTGGCCCCTGTGTGAGACAGGAGGCTGGACCGGATGGACTATTGGTCTGATTCAGCAGGGCTCTTCTGATGTTCTTATAAAGGCCTCAGCCTCTCTGCCCTGTTGTTGGCCCTCCAGGGGAACTGGGTGGCCACTGCGTGAGACAGGAGACTGGACTAGATGGACCACTGGTCTGATCCAGCAGGGCTCTTCTGATGTTCTTAGGAAGGCCTCGGCCTCTATGCCCTGTTCTTGGCCCTCCAGGGGAACTGGTGGGCCCCTGCGTGAGACGGGATGCTGGACTCGATGATCCAGCAGGGCTCTTCTGATGTTCTTAAGGTGCTCCAGAACTCTTCATCTAGCTCCTCTACTGTAGAGCCACTTGAAACTACATCCCTTTCTCAGTAATTCACTGCAGGTCACCAGGAAAATTTCCGATGGCTGAGCATCACCTTAAAAGTTTGAGCTTTAAACCCTGGCTTATTTTCCCCCCTGTTAATCTAACTCTGTGCTTTAAAAACATAAGAAGAGCCCTGCTGGATCAATGATGCATCTAGTCCGGTGTTTTGATTCAACGCAGCTCATCTTCCAGCATTCCTAGCTTCTGCTCTTCTCCCAGACAGAGGAAAGTATTAAAACAAAACTCTCCATGCCATATGGAACCTTTTAATTAAAGGATCGGAGGGGGCACACACTTCTTCTTTCCCCCCACCCCCCAAAGCTTTATTGACATAAATAAACAAATTAGGGTTCCCAAGTACTTACCGCAATCCGGCGGGGGAAACATGCTCCCCGGCCGGACCATTTCTCCCTGTAACGCTCCATGCCGTCGCCAGGAAGTGACACCG